TTTTTTAATCCAGTCCTCTTTTGATGGGCAGCATGGTTGTTTCCAGGGTTCTTGCTATTGTGAACAATGCTGCGATAAACATACGTGTGCAGGTATCTTTTTTATAGAGTGATTTGTGTTCTTCAGGGTATATTCCCAGTAGGGGGATTGCAGGGTCATATGGAAGGTCAATTTTTAGAGCTTTTAGGAATCGCCACACTGCTTTCCACAGAGGTTGCACTAGTTTACACTCCCACCAGCAGTGTAGAAGTGTTCCCTTTTCACCACACCCTCTCCAGCAGCTGTTATTTATTGAGTTGTTGATAATTGCCATTCTGACTGGAGTTAGGTGGTATCTCAGTGTGGTTTTGATTTGCATCTCCCTGATGATTAGTGAGGTTGAGCATTTCTTCATGTGTTTGTTGGCTTCTCGAATGTCTTCTTTTTCAACTGTGAACAAAGTTTCTCTTCCCCTCTTTCTTCCTTCCTTTTTCTATTTATTTATTATTTGCACATCTATCTGTATATCCATAGAAACTCATAGCTTATTTTGTGTTCAAAAATTGCACTCTGATGGAGGGTCAAAAAAAATCACTGTCAGGTACAATGTGCACAGGTAGGAGTGATGGGTACACTTAAAGCCCAGACCAAAACTATTTGTACCCCTCAAAGCTATTGGGATAAAAATAAAATAAAATTTAAATAATTACACTCTGAAAAACAAAGAGATGAAGAATGTAAGGGTTGTGCTGACCTTTGAAGATAGTGTAGATATGTATATACATCATGAGTTGCTCATTTTGATTCTCAAGTTTTATCTGGCTTGGTCAGTAAGAGACATCCCTTAGCTTATAAGATTTGAATACTTTAAAAATGTTGCTAGGAATAATTTTAGTGAATTTAATAAAATAACATATTCATGACTCTATTGATATTTGTTAAACATATTCAAGAAGACTAAATTTTTTTTTTTTGAGATGGAGTCTCACTCCATTTCCAGGCAGGAGTGCACGCTCACGGCCACTGCAGCCTCGACCTGCTGGGCTTAGACAATCCTTCTGCCTCAGCTTTCCCAGTAGTTGGAACTACAGATGCACGCCACCACACCCGGCTAGTGTTTGTGATTTATTGTAAAGATAGGGTCTCATCAAGTTGCCCAGGCTGATCTCGAACCTGCAGACTCAAGGCAATCCACTGACCTCAGCCTCCCAAAGTGCTGGGATCATAGGTTGAGCCACTGAGCCCAGCCAAGAAGACTAACTTTAAAACCAGATTTTGGCAAGTAGATAAATATAATGAAGTTATAAAAATCCAGTTATTTAAATAACTGATCTTTGAGTGAAACTAGCTTTCTGCCAGTAGTACTCTAGGACCTATTATTAGTATAAAAATAGCATCCTGTTAAACTTGAAAACATATAGAATGGTAAAAATCAAGTAAACTTCTCTAGGCTTTTTGACTTTTAAAATATAGATTCAGTAAGTAATTGCTAATTAAGGCCATTACATTTCTGTGACAGTTATTGAATCCTGAGGCTGGATATTTTTGCATATTTGGCAATTTTTTTGTATTTGGACCTAACAGACATTAAATTAGATTGACCATAATCCTTGGTTCAGGATATCCTCTCATTATTTTCCATGCATGGCCCATTTTCTTTTAGTTAATTAGTTATTTTAAATAACTGACTAGAATTAGTTATACTTTAATAACTAATTAGTTACATTAAAAATGATGCACCAGGCAACCCCCTTGGGTCCCCTCCTACTGTGGGAGCTTTTCTGTCCTCTTAGTAAATCCTGCTTTCAAAAAACCCCAAAAACCTATGCACCTATAAACTCACTGCTCAAAACAAAAGTTGGGACAGTACCCTATGATCCAACAGTTCCACTCCTAGATATGCACTTAAGAAAATCTCTGTCCAAGCGGAGACACAGATAAGAACATTCATAGCAGCACTGTTTACAATAGCAAAAACTCTGAAGCAACTCTACTTATCAATGGGACAGAGCATAAAGTGTGGGGCACTCATACAATGGATTAATATACAGCAGTTGGAATCAATGAACTATGTATAGGGATATATAGCATGAATACATTTTACCAATGTAATGTTAAGCACAAAAAAAAAAATAAGGCCCCAAAGAATAAATACAGTTTAATCCCCTTTTTAATAAAGTCAAAACAGTAGCTAGGCGCAATGGTTCACACCTGTAATCCCAGCTAGCTGGGAGGCTGAGGCGAGAGGATTGCCTGAGCCCAGGGGTTTGAGACCAGCCTGGGCAACTTGGTGAGACCTCGTCCCTACAATATATAAAAAAATTAGCTGGGTGTGGTGGTGTAGCCTGTGATTCCAGCTTCTTTGAAGGCTGAAGTGGAAGGATCACCTGAGTCCAGCAGGTTGAGGCTGCGGTGGCCATGAGCATGCCATTGCACTCCAGTCTGAGTGACAGAGTAAGACACTTAAAAAAAAAACAAAAAACATGTCACATTAATTTGGGATTATATTGTATACCAAAAAATGAAGTTCATACAATTATAGAAACTGAATGTAGTGAAATGCCAATGACTAATATTATTCCTTTCTTAAAAAGCACAATGCTTTAGTAGGAAATGAGAAAGTTTGAACAAAGAGTATTTTAATAAAGATGAAATAATAAATTGCATTAAAAGTCTCCTTCATTTCACTTTTAATTCACAAAAATGTTTTCTCAAGTTTGAAAATTCCTAGAAGCCATATATTGTTTTCCATAAAGTCATACGTTTTTAATGGAGTTATCTTTGATCTTTCTCTTCCCATATCCAGTCCACAGAGACCAGTGCTGATTCAATTGCTTCAACATTGCTCTAATTGGAACCTCCTTGTTCTATACAATCATTGCTCTAGTTTAGGCCTGGGCTTGCAAACTAGCAACCTGAGGTCCGCCTTCAGCCTACAGACAAGCTTTGTTTGGCCTGTACAATGTTTAAACTTTTAAAAATTTGTCGCCAACATTAAAAAATTTGGAAATTCTACTTTAAAATGCAGATTACAGCTTCTTTTGAGAAGTCAGAATATCTGGCAACCCTAGGCTCCATGCCTATTTGGCAACATTCAATTACAGCTGAGACTACCCTTCTTAGATGAGGCATGGTATTCAGTCTAAGACAGTTTCTGCCATTCTCTGTTGTTTCTTTCAACTGGTTTACTTCACTCACTGGTATTACTTGCTTGGTCCCTCTAAGGTCTTCCAGTTTCCTCTGTTTAGTCTTCCACTCTTATCTCCAGCATAGTACCTACCCCATCCTCTCCATATTGTCAATATTCGCTTTCTCGTCATGTTTGATCAAATTACTTCTTGATTTGCATACCCTTGCTTTGCTAATTGTTTTCAGAACAAAATCCAAACTCTTTAAAAAGGCATTTCATGATCTGGTCTCCCTGCACCAGAATACCCACTCCCTCCTGTTCCTCACTCCTTCTCAGCTTTGACTACTCAGAACCAGTAGTTCCCAAACCAGCATACTTTCTTATGTCTGCTTGTGCTGCTCTCTCCACCTTTCCTTCCCCTTTTCTCCCGGCTAACTCGTAATCATCTTTAAAGACTCTACTCTGACATCAATCCTCCAGGAAACCTTGCCCAATAGTCTTTTCCTCCTGGTCCTTTTTTGTGATCCCAAAGCAACCTATGCTCTTCAGTTTGTAAGGTCTCCATTTAAATGCTCGAGGTCTCCGAACTCCACCAACAGATGTTAAATCAGGGTAGGCTGAAGAGGGGTTAATCATACTTGTGTTAATACCAGTGTTATTTCCTAGTCTACCCCTCTTCCTGAGTCGGGGTCTCAGAGTGTAGTGTGACAGGGGTGTGTAAGGGTCCGCACGGGTTTGGGTTCCCGAGACCAGTGTCGGCTAGAGCTTTAGATCCCGGCTCCCAGCCAGGTGCAAGAGAGCCAAGCAGGCCACTGGGTCTGCAGTCGGCAGCGTGGGCGGCCCCGGATTGGACAGGGCGGTGCATGCCGGGAGCGGCCTGGTCTTCGAAGGGCTTGCTGGGAGTTGTAGTCCTAAGAGCCGGAAGTGGGGGTGGCCGGGATAGGAACCGCTGCTGAGGCAGCAGTCGCTGACGCTGCTGGCACTCGGGTGCAGTGCATCACCCCGAGCCCATCAGGCGTAGGTGCCTCCTCCATTCCCAGGGGGCTCCGGGAGTCCCGAGGGGAGAAGCGGCTGGGACGCCTCTCTTCAGTGAAGAGGCGGCCTCGCAGCCCCGGATGCGGCCAGAGGGCGCGGGAATGGAGCTTGGCGGCTGCGAGGAGCGTCTGCCGGAGGAGAGCAGGTGGGCTGGGAGGGGTCCCGGGAGTCCCGGGCAGTTGATGCGCCGAGGCATCGGGAGGCTCGGGAGGACTCGGAGGCCACGTGGAGAAAGGCCGGGCGCGACAGATCTCCGAGCGACTGCTGCGAGGGGACTCGTTTGGGAAGAATTTCGGAGAGGAGGGACCTGCAGGGCGTGGATCCGACGAGAGAACGGGTTCGGTGGGGATTAGGGAGGGTGGGTAGAATTTGTTGAGGGCAAGGGGAGCAGAAGAGGGTAAAGCTCTGAGACTGCTGGGGAGGAGGTGGTTATTGAGAGTCTGGGAGAAAAGGACTGAGGTGGTAGTGAGATTTTATAGGCCAGAGTCTACAGATAGGTGCAGGGCACAAGGTTGGTGCCCAAACTGAAACTTGCGGTGACAGAAGGTGGGCCCAGTATTAAGAGGGTGATGTAAGAATTTCTGGGAGCAAAGGTTAAGGGCAATGAGGGGCCTAGGCAGGGATAAGTGTGGGGAAGAAGGCGACAAGGAGGGCCTTGGATGTGAGTTATTGTAATGGCAATGGGGTGGGAGTGGGGGCTTGCTAATGAGACCAGAAATGATACACATGGCGTTTGTCATTGCTGGATCCCTATCAGAGAGCGGCAGGACTTCTGTGTCATTTCCTTTTCATCCTCAAACCTTTCACTTCTTCCCCACAGTGCAGACTAAGCAAGTTCACATTCATTTATGTGGAACTACTGTCAGAAAGTTCGTATCTTCTAGAAATTGGGGGATTTAAGAGTTTTAAAAGCTACTTTGTCTAAATGATGAATTGGAGTCTTTTGAGGTGCTTCCCATACTTAGGGTTTGCTTCGTTAGTAACTCTGGCCTTAACCTCTTAAGAGACTGGAATGATGATGGGCCAGAGCAGGAATGTGGCTTAAGACAGTCTTGCTTGACACTGAGAAAGTTTCGGACATAGTGATGGTCTCAGGAGCCACTGGGGTCTAAAGACTGCAGGCAGAACATTTACCTCTGAGAAAGTGACAACAGGAGAAAATTAATGCAATGTTGTGCCTGGGTGAAGACTTGCTGTCTTAAAGAGTGACTCCACTTTTAAGTGCACAGGTAGCCTGTGGCCTGCTGTACAAAACCTGGACTGACAGGACTTTGGAGTTTCTATCTGAGATCTATGAATGATTTGTACTAAGTGAAACTGAACATCTTACTTCCCCTTTCCATGTTTCAGTTTCTGCTTATGTATATTTGGCTATTTATTCTTCTTCCAGATGTCTGAAATGCTTCTTACTAAAAAGTTCCCATGTACATTGTAAATGAGTTTTAGGATTATTTTTGATTTTCCTACACCACTTCATGTGGCAGAGACTGGGTTGGAAATCCAAGTTCAGGCCAGGCGCAGTGGCTCAAGTCTGTAATCCCAGCACTTTGTGAGGCTGAGGGAGAGAATTGCCTGAGACCGGGGTTCGAGACCAGCCTGGGCAACTTGGCGAGACCTCATCTCTACAGTAAATCAAAAAATTAGCCAGGACATGGTGGCTTGCACCTGTAGTTGCAGCTACTTGGAAGGCTGAGGCAGAAGGATCACCTGAGCCCAGCAGGTTGAGGCTGGGGGGGCTGTGAGCGTGCCACTGCACTCCAGCCTTGGGCGACAGAGTGAGACTCCAACTCAAAAAAAAAAAAGAAATCCAACTTCTGATCTCTTCCCTGTCTAGCTGGAAATGGGTTAGTTATTTATTTAATGTATTTAGCAAACACTTATTTGCCACATGCCAGACACTATTTTAAGATATTAAGATACATTTAATATTGTATTATTTGGTTTTCCAACTTATTTGATCCTCATAACTACTTTATGGAGTAAGTATTATTGTTATCACCATTTCACAGATGAGGAATGATGAGATATGGACAGGGTAAGTAACTTGCCAAGGTCATACAGTGAATCCCTAGTGGAGCAGGAATCCAAACCCACACAGTTTGGCTTGAGTCTGCACAATTTGTTTTTTTTTTTTTGGTCAAGGTCTTGCTCTGGCTGGAATGAAGTGGCACAATCACAGCTCACCTGAGCCTTGACTTCACCACGGCCTTGACCTCCTGGGCTCAAGTGATTCTCCCAAAGTGCTGGAATTACAGGCATGAGCCACCACACCCTGCACATAGTCTGCACTTTTAATATCTACACTATATTGCCTCTCACTATGCTAATAGTGACAAAGAAATGTATGAGACATAGAATACATTTTACAGCATTCTATGTCTTTTAGACCAGTACTTTGCAGGTATCTTTTCCTGTCTATTATTATTTTTATGCTTGCCTCTTAACCAAATAACTTTAATCAAAACTTAATTTCAGCAGTGGGGTTATCCCCACAAAGTCACTCATTTAGTTGTGATAGGCCTGTGCTCTGTTAGTGTCTGGTTAATTCAGAATGTGTTATTTAATGAGGGTTCATGGTACTGATGGCCTCTTTAGCTCCTCTTTAGACAACTGGTAAATACATGCCTTGTGCCTGTTAATTGAGGCATTGTAACTGGGTCCTTGCAAACATAATCTTTCTATGGCTAATAAAATACCCATTTCAGAAACAGTCTTACTGATGAGATAGCATCATTTTTATTTTATTTTTTTTTTATTTTTTATTTTTTGAGTTGGAGTCTCACTCTGTTGCTCAGACTGGAGTGCAGTGGCTGCTCCCGGCCACCGCAGCCTCACCTGCTGGGCTCCAGCAATCCTTCCGCCTCAGCCTTCCAAGTAGCTGGAACTACAGGCGTGTGCTACCCCACCCGGCTAATTTTTTGATTTATTGTAGAGTTGAGGTCTCGCCAAGTTGCCCAGGCGGGTCTCGAACCGGCGGGCTCAGGCAATCCGCTCACTTCGGCCTCCCAAAGCCCTGGGATTACAGGCTGAGCTACCGAGCCCAGCCGAGATAGCATAATTTTTAAAATGAAGGGTAAAACCTTTCAGTATATTTTTTGAAAGCAGTTGATAGAGTGAAATGTACACAAGCTTTAAACCCAGATAGTCCTGCATTTGCATCCAACTCTCTGTTCAACTTGGCTTGATCAAGTGATGTAACCTGAGTGGGAAGAATAATGGCTTCCTGCCTAAGAAGTTGTAAAGATTTGATAAAATAATGTGTAGAAAGCTCGTAACAGAGTGCCTAATATATACGAAGTGCAAAAAAAAAAAGTCTACTTTCACTCCCCTCCCCAGTGTTTTTGAAATAAGGTGGGTATGTGCTCCACAGGTTACTGTTTGCTAACTTGTTCTTCCCTCTTTCAGTGGCTCCTCTGAGTTGAACATATCGAGGTCTAGAGTGTTAACTTATTTTTTAACTTCACCTTAGCAGTGTAGTTATGTCGTAGGCTTCCCTGTTGTTTTCCCCCTTGCTAGCTATTACTCTAGCAAACTCTGAAGTGCTTAGCGGTGATGCTGAATTTTCCCTAGAGCTTCCTAAATGCCATTTTTTGGATGTTCTCTGCTGAAACTGCAAAACTGCTAAAGGAATGGTCCTTTTCAGCATCACTGTCACCCTAGATTGCCTTGACCATGCAGACTACTTCTAGCTTTGACTTAGATCCATGACTGCTCAGTTTTTCTGGTGCATTGATCCAGATAGACTCAGAATTTAAGAATTCAAGATACGTACTTTTTAATGTGTCCAAACTTAGCTTATCCTGCTGACCAAAACTATCTTCTCCACTGTTCTCCAAGTTAATAGCATTTTCCACTCAGTTAACCAATCCAGAACCTCAGAATAAAATTTAATACTTCCCTCTTCTCCATTTTCCATATCCAAGCAGTCACTGGGTTCTGAAACTTGTTCCTAATTTGTCTCAATGACTTCTTTTTCTCTCTATTTCCAAATACAATGGTTTATATTATTAAAAAATCCAGTGTGTACTGTTGCTTCACACATGGCCAAATCTGGGCTCTCAAAGTCAAGCATTTGTCCTTGTCTCTGGGTGCTGCTTTTTGATGTGTTGGTTTCATTCTCAGGCAGACTTTTCTACAGGATTACCTTAGCAACTCTAAATTTAGCAATCTCAACAACAAAAAAAGGATGAAATCCCATTAGTTGTAGCAAGAGCAAAAATTCTCTGACTGACTCTTTTTAAACTGACTTGTGTTCCTGTTCTTGTGATCAGGGTATGGAATATGCTACTCAGTGAGGCCTAAATTATGTACCCAACCCTGTATCCTAGTGTAGGGTTAGACCTTGGAAACTTACGGGCCAGAGTAAATGCTAAAAGGGTGGTTCACTTGTGGAAAATTAGTGTTCTGTTACCAAAATAAAGGACTTGAATTCTGGGCAGATATAAATAATATTTGGTCTGGCACAGTGGCTCACACCTGTAATCCCACCACTTTGGGAGGCTGAGGCAGGAGAATTGCTTGAGCCCAGGAGTTTGAGACCAGCCTGGGCAATGTAGTAAGACCTCGTCTCTACAAAAAGTCAAAAAAATTAGCCAGGTATGTTAGTGAGTGCCTGTAGTTCCAGCTACTCTGGAGACTGAGGCAGGAGGATCGCTTGTGCCCAGGAATTCAAGGCTGTGGTGAGCCATGATCATGCTACTGCACTATAGTCTGGGTGACAGATTGAGACCCTGACTCTGAAAAAAAAAAAGTGTGTATATATATATATATATATATATATACATACACACACATATACACATGGTTTTTTTTTTTCAGTGCAGACCCTCATTGTCTCTCACTGGGAATTATCTCAGTAATCTCCTACCTAATCTTCCAATCTGAATTTAGTCTCCCATTTCATGCAGCCTCCACACTGCTACTAGTTTAACTTTTTAGAAACAAAGTTACTATAGTATTTTACTCAGAGATGCTCAGTGGTTTTCCCTTTTAAAATAGAATGTTTTCTGTGTCCCAACTCCTCACCCTGGTATTTAGTCTTTTTGTTTGTCCCTATGAAGTTCCCAGTTACAAAGCCCTGGCATACACTCATGCTATATCTTTCTCGCCATTCTCATTCTTGCTTCTCTACATTGCCTGCAATAC